CGAGCTTGCCCAGGCTGGTCTCCAACTCCAGAGAACCCACCTCGGCCTCCCAAAGTGCTAGTGAGAGGTGACAACGTGCTAGCAACCCTAGCTCACTCTCGGCGCCTCCTCGGTCTCGGCGTCCGCTCTGGCCCCGCTCTAGGAGCCCTTCAGCCCGCCGCTGCGCTGTGGGGGCCCCTCTCAGGGGCTGGCCAAGGCCAGAGCCCGCTCCCTCTGCTCACGGGGAGGTGTGGAGGGAGACGCGCGGGCGGGAGCGCGGGCTGCGCGCGGCTCTCGCGGCCCAGCGCGGGTTCCCGGTGGGCGCCGGCTCCGCAAGACCCACACTCAGTGCGGCCAGCCAGCACCTGCTGGACTTGATCGAAGGCTGAATCCCATGCGTGGACCGCCGTTCCCTCTTTGCGGGATCCTTGGCCATGATACTTACCAGGTCTCCCTCTCTTCCGCGCTTCCCTTGTTTTCCTCTTGATTGTCTGGGATGAGCTCCCTCTGGGCTGCTGGGGCTAGGTACTGCAAAGTCCCCAAGCAAGTGCCAGTGAGACGTGAAGCCGGCTGGGCTTCTGGGACAGGTGGGGACTTGGAGAACCTTTGTGACTTGCTAAAGGATTGTAAACACACCAATCAGAGCTCTGTGTGTAGCTAAAGGTTTGTAAACACACCAATCAGCACTCTGTCAAAGTGGACTAATCAACTCTCTGCAAAATGGACCAATCAGTAGGATGTGGGTGGGGCCAGATAAAGGACTAAAAGCAGGCCACCCAAGCCAGCTGTGGCAACCTGACGAGGTCCTCTTCTAAGCAGTGGTGGCTTTGTTCTTTTGCTCTTCACAGTAAATCTTGCTGTTGCTGACTCTGGGTCCGCGCCCCCTTTGAGAACTGTAACACTCACTGTGAAGATCTGCAGGTTCACTCCTGAAGCCAGCAAGACAAGGAACCCATCAGCAGGAACGAACAACTCCAGACGGGAGGAACAAATAACTCCCGAAGCGCAACCTTTATGAACTGTAACACTCACGGTGAAGGTCTGCGGTTTCACTCCTGAAGTCAGTGAGACCACGAACCCGCTAGAAGGAAGAAACTCTGGACACGTCTGAACATCTGAAAGAACAAACTCCGGACACACTATCTTTAAGAACTGTAACACTCATCTCGAGGGTCCTTGGCTTCATTCTTTAAGTCAGCGAGACTAAGAACCCACGAACTGTGGACCCACTAGGATTCCAGACATGAGCCACTATACCTGTCCTGAGACCTCAGTGGTTTTTTTTTTTAATACTTTAAGTTCTAGGGTACATGAGCACAATGTGCAGGTTTGTTACGTATGTATACTTGTGCCATGTTGGTGTGCTGCACCCATCAACTCATCATTTACATTAGGTATATCTACTAATGCTATCCCTCCCCTTACCCCCTCACCACAATAGGTCCCAGTGTGTGATGGTCCCCTTCCTGTGTCCAAGTGATCTCATTGTTCAATTCTCACCTATGAGTGAGAACATGTGGTGTTTGGTTTTCTGTTCTTGACATAGTTTGCTGAGAATGATGGTTTCCAGCTGCATCCATGTCCCTACACAGGACACGAACTCATCCTTTTTTATGGCTGCATAGTATTCCATGGTGTGTATGTGCCACATTTTCTTAATCTAGTCTGTCACTGATGGACATTTGGTTTGGTTCCAAGTCTTTGCTATTGTGAATAGTGCCACAATAAACATACGTGTGCATGTGTCTTTATAGCAGCATGATTTATAATCATTTGGGTATATACCCAGTAATGGGATGGCTGGGTCAAATGGTATTTCTAGTTCTAGATCCTTGAGGAATCGCTACACTGTTTTCCACAATTATTGAACTAGTTTACAGTCCCACCAACAGTGTAAAAGTGTTCCTATTTCTCCACATCCGCTGCAGCACCTGTTGTTTCCTGACTTTTTAATGATTGCCATTCTAACTGGTGTGAGATGGTATCTCATTGTGGTTTTGATTTGCATTTCTCTGGTGGCCAGTTATGATGAGCATTTTTTCATGTGTCTGTTGGCTGTATAAATCTTCTTTTGAGAAGTGTCTGTTCATATCCTTTGCCCACTTTTTGATGGGGTTGTTTTTTTCTTGTAAATTTGTTTGAGTTCTTTGTAGATTCTGGATATTAGCCCTTTGTCAGATGAGTAGATTGCAAAAAATTTCTCCCATTCTGTAGGTTGGCTGTTCACTCTGATGGTAGTTCCTTTTGCAGTGCAGAAGCTCTTTAGTTTCATTAGATCCCATTTGTCAATTATGGCTTTTGTTGCCGTTGCTTTTGGTGTTTTAGACATGAAGTCCTTGTCCATGCCTATGTCCTGAATGGTATTACCTAGGTTTTCTTCTAGGGTTTTTATGGTTTTAGGTCTAACATTTAGGTCTCTAATCCATCTTGAATTAATATTTGTATAAGGAGTAAGGAAAGAATCCAGTTTCAGCTTTCTACTTTCCCAGCACCATTTATTAAATAGGGAATCCTTTCCCCATTTCTTGTTTTTGTCAGGTTTGTCAAAGATGTAGATGTGTGGTGTTATTTCGACCTCAGTATTTTTTAAGGAGCATATCTGAGTTCTTCCACACTGGCCACTTACACATGGCACAGGGTTAGAATCTGGGTTATAACATTCAATGCACTGAATAGCATTTAATCTGTAAATTTGGAGAAGTGTGGCCATTTTAGCAATATTGATTTTTCCTATCTATGAGCATGGAATGTTCTCTTCATTTGATAGGGTGGAGGGTGGCAGAAGGGAGAGTAGCAGAAATCTCTTGCAATTGGGCATATGTTGCTATTTTTGGCTTTAGTGAGTGAGCTCCTGAGATCCTCCCATGGCAGGATCTGTTGACCCAGGGACCCAGAAGCAGTGCAACCCAAGACCAGTGGGTGAAGTCAAAGAAGTGTCCGCCTGATGGCATCTTATCAACCTCAGCTTGTAGACTGTGGCCACCCCCTGCCCCCATTCTCTTTGTTCTCAGCCCCACCGACCAAAATGTACCTGTTCCAGAATCCTTTTTCTTGAGGTCCTGTTCTGTGCTAAGTGGAAGCTAGCTAACACGCTAATTCTTCAACCGTATATTTTTAAAAGGAACCACTGCAAGCGTGAGAACTTCAGAACGGTGGCAGGCTGTGGAGAAAATAAGACGAGGGAGTGTAAGTCTGTCACTTTGCAACTCCTAATTAGCCCATGTTCGCGGCTGATCCTGAAAAAGGTTTCTTTTGCTATTGATGATAGAATGTCTGTCAAACAGAATTGATGTAATAGCAAAATATTATACATAGGTTTTCAGTTGATGCACTCTCTCGTAAATAACTTGGTGTGTGTGTACATGTGAGTATGTGTGCAGGATGTTAGAGAAGATACACTAAGAAGTGCGATACTTAGGTACATGCATTCTTCTAGAACATCTCTTCTCTTTTTTTATGTTTTTATTTTTTAGAGATAGTGTCTTTATCACCCAGGCTGGAGTACAATGGCATGATCCTAGCTTTCTGTAACCTGAAACTCCTGGGCTCAAGCAAGCTTCCCAGATGGATGTGCACCACCATGCCTGGCTAATTTCCCCAGGCTGGACTCGATCTCCTGGGCTCAAGTGATCCTCGTTCCTTGGCCTCCCAAAGTATTGGAGTTACAGGCCACTGTGAGCCACTGTGCTTGGCCTTCTTAACTTTTCTTAAGTCACTGACTTTTTAAAATAATAGAGTGAAAACTACAACCCTGATCCGTAGAGAAGTGCATGTGATGGTTCTAATTTCAGCAGGCTTATGGATCCCATTGTGTTCATCCATGAATTCTTTAGAGGTCCATGTAGCTCAGATTTAGAAATTCCAGAGTTGGGTAAAGATATCACTAATATGTTTGCAGGCAGTGTGAACATAGTGATGCAATTTTTTTTTTTTTTTTTTTTTTTTTTTTTTTGAGACAGGGTCTTACTCTGTCACCCAGGTTAGAAGGCAGTGGCACGATTTTGGCTCACTGCAATCTCCATCTCCCAGGTTCAAGCGATTCTTCTGCCTCAGGCTCCCTAGTAGCTGGGACTACAGGCGTGCATCACCATGCCCAGCTAGTTTTTGTTTTTAGTAGAGATGGCTTTCACCATGTTGGCCAGGTTGGTCTTGAACTCCTGGACTCAAGCAATCTGTCTGCCTTGGTCTAGTGATGCTATTTCTTAAAGGAGATGCTTCTTGGAAATTTGTATGAAACTTTAGATGATTTTTAATGCATCACAGAACTCATTCTTGATGGCTTCTTTAAAAATGTTGCTAAGTGCCTCCTTATTAATCTGCTTAAATTTACATTTGGTTAAATAAGAATTTGTAATCCTGTAGCTCCCAGGCTTGAATGGAACATGGTGTGGGCACATGCAGATTTTTTTAAAGGGAATACCTTTCCCATTTCCATTTTTCGTTTTCTTCTTTAGCTTCGTAGGCCAAAACCACTTGAATACAATTGATAACCAGTTAACCAATTCATTGACCTTGCATTTTGCTGTTTTCAGTCTGAACCCTCTTTTGTCTAATTTTTTGCTATTTCTTTAGCTTTTTTTTCCCCCTGCCTAAGTATTCTTTGTTCTAGTCACCTGATTTTTTCTAAAATCTGAAGTTCCTACCCCTCTCTCTGAATTTTGCTCATCCTTCAGAAAGTTGAGATGAATGCTCATCTTTCTCTGTGAAGCCCTCCTTTTCATCCAACTGAACCAGTCCTGTGTGGAAAGAAATACAAAGCACCCCACAGCCTGCGGGACCATCAAGAACAACACCTATGTAATAACTTCAGAAGGAGATGAAAGGGAAAGAGCAAATTTGTTGAACCCTCACTCTGTATCACGTGAAGGAAACAGGTATAAAGTGGTTAAATGACCAGAAGGAGGGAAAGATAGAGCTTTCTGCACGGCTTCCAAGTGGCTGCTCCACCATGTCCCCTGCTGTCTCTGCAAGTGATGTGTGTGTGCACTTGAGATGTCCCATCAGGTCAATCTAGGAGCACCATGGACGAAGTGTTCCTGTGGCTCTGGATCCTTACTCATTCCAGTAGAAGAACAGGGACAGTTCCTAAGGTTAAAAGCCATAGTTGTGTTAGTTCAGAGGGAAAGATCAAAGCTCCCATGTGGATTTGGTGGATTTTCCTAGCCCTGGGCCTCTTCCTTTCCCTCCCCTTCCTGCCCTCCTCATGCAGCGACCCTAAAGATAAGGTCCAGTACGAAGAGAAGCAGTCCAGTTTTGTCCTCTTGTTGTATTAATTCCCTTTTGGTTTTTTTGTTTTGTTTTGTTTTGTTTTTGTTTTTGTTTTTGTTTTGAGACAGGGTCTTTCTTTGTTGCCCAGGCTGGTGCAGTGGCACAATCTCAGCTCACTGCAGCCTTAACCTCCAGGTTCAAGTGATCTTTCCACCTTAGACTCCTGAGTAGCTGGGACTACAGGCATGCACCACCATGCCAAGCTAATTTTTTGTAGAGGTGGTATTTTGCCCCGTTGGCCAGGCTGTTCTGAAACTCCTGGGCTCAAGTAACCCACCCACCTCAGCTTCTTCCCAAAGTGCTGGGATTACAAGTGTGAGCCACTGCGCCCAGCTAGATTAATTCTTAATTGTAAAAGAAGACAGAAACTAATGGCAAAACATGCTTTTTATGTGTGTGTGTAAGAGTGCAAGATAGAATGTGACTTTCTTACTGTCTACCACATAATGCTAATAATCGAGGCTTACATATAGATATACATTCATATATATTATACGTAATAAAGACATGTACTCACATAAAAGAGCCTAGATCACTCCTTTTATAACACTGAGCTTGTTTTTCTCCATTGATGGGTTGAAGTTTTTTTTCATATTCTCTTTCTCTCTCTTCCCAGTGTTTTGGAATTTCCTGGGCAATTTTCCTACCCTTCCTTTTCTTACCCTTCGCTGGGTGTCATTTCCTCCCCATGCCACTGAATGCCATTGAATGCCATTTCCTTTCCTCTCGGTGCTGCTTCTCCCTCCCAGCTCCCCAATTAAAGCTCTTTATTCAAGTACGGCTTTGCTGGAGGGGTAGCGCATCAGAACTGGAGTCAATTTAGAAGCGGTGTTCCTGCAAGAATTCAGAGTTTATATGTCCTCCTGAAGATGCTTTGGAAGTTAACACAAGATTCAGAAATTAATTTTTATATCCTCGGAGGAGAAGAAATCTATGCTTGTCAGTTTTTTAGGAGATTTGTTTGGTTATGCATACACACCTTTTATAGCTCAGGAACATATATTTTTGCATGTTTGGCTTTATACTTTAAAATCTACCTTATTAATTGCTTATACTTTTTCCTCTAATTTTCATGTAATTGATTTTTCACATTGCTGCTGAAAGAGTAGGACCATTGTGTTGCAGTGAGTTAAGCCAGGGATTTTTTTTGTTTACTAAAGTGTCTTAGGCTATAGAATCCTGAGGCGGCTCATACTAGGATAGAGTGAGCATGTGCTTTCGGGGCACAGGTTCTCAGTAAATACTTGTTGTTTATTAACTGAAAGCAGCATTACCTTTGTTATTTATAAAGCTAATAATATTTGGAGAACTTTGTTACTTATAAAGCTATTATTTGTTGGCCTTTTTGGGGTAGATGCTTAGATATTTTGATATTTTATGTTTACCTTGAGGAACATGTAGAACCTTCTAAATGAGAATTTCACTGTTTCATAAACTTTATGTTTAAATAACTTAGAACTACTGTAATTCACTCCTTTAATAGCTGCTTTGGGTGAAATCCCATAAAATCTGTGAAGCCAGTTATCATTAGTATACTTTTGAACTTCAAACTCTTATGGTAATATGTAATAAGTTCATTATCCACCTTGTGTTTTTGGCCAGAAAACAAAGGTAATTAATCACTGTAACTACAAATGACCTTTTTTTTTTTTTTTTTTTTTTTTGCATATAAAGTGCTTTCCAGAGGAAAAAGCCTTGAATTCCCTAGCACACTGAATTAAGTCACTCAGTGGCAAATTCATAGTGACCAAGGGTGGTCATGCAAAGAAATGTCACCTGCTATACTTCAAAACACTGAGCCCTAACGGCAGGATGCTGGGTGGTAGTGATGGCACAGACAGACCAGCTTGGGTGCAGCTGATTGGGGCGCTTTTTGTGCAAAAGCATCTTGTGGCCCTTGAGGCAAAGACACAAAGCTGTAAGGAGTGGCAGACTCTGGGAGCAGCAGGCACCACACAAAAACATAAGGATGGGAGCTCTGCTTGGGTGCAGCCCACGGGAGGGTCAGGGGGTCACACTTTGGTCTTTAGAGTCATATGGTTACCAGCGACAGCCAGGTTCTCTTCAGCTCCAGAAGGGCAGCACTAGACCCTGCACCATGCTAACGCACACCGACGGCTGCCAGGAAGCCAGAAGCTGCTCTGAACACATGATGCTTTCCATCCACAGCACAGGCATGAAATCTGGAGTTATCCATCTTAAGCAATACTGATCTTAGCATAAAATCCTGTGTGGGGAAGCAGAAGTTGACTAGAAAGTGTTTGCTTGTGGCACCCACATTGAACGTATTAGCTATCTAGAGTATCATGTGTTTCATTCTTGTCAATCCCCCAGCTCAATAGGCGTCTTCATTTGGATAAGATTGATTATTATACTCATCACATTATTGCACAGGGTAAGGGACATATGTGTTGGATTGATTATCCTGATGCTGCCAATGAATTAAGTTTTCTGAACCAAAATATGGTTTCCAAAGCAGCAACATCAGCATCCCCTGAGAAGTTGCTGGAAATTCAGATTCTCAGGCTTTACCCCAAACTTACCAAATCAGAAACTCCGAGATACCCCTCCATCTGTGTTTCAGCAAGCCCTCTGGTGATTCTGATGTCTCTGTGGTTTGAGACCCACTGCCATAGAGCAGGGCTGTCTAATAGAACGTTCTGTGGTGATGGAAATGGTCAGTATCCCTGCCATGCAGTAGTGGAACCACTAGACACCACATGTGTCTATTGAGCTCTTGAAATGTGGCTGCTGTGACCAAATAATAGCATTCATCGTTTAATTTAATTTTGATTAATCTGGGTTTAAATTCAAATAGCTGCATATAGCTAGTGGCTGTCCATCAGATAGCCCAGCCTCAGAACACACCCTGCTAATTATTATTGTGTAACTCCTAAAATGCTTAAGCTGTTGGTTGTGGAATTATTAATTTTAGATCATAGAACAGAATCTTCCTTACTCAATTCAACAGAATTGAAATGCAATTGTTATAACTTAAGTAGTTGATTTTGATTCTTCATGTGGAGGGGAGATAGTCTGTGGGCTGCTGGCCGGTTGAGGGAAGCTGTTCTTGAGCTGATTGATCGTTGATTTTGTGAATGTGCATCAACTGCAGTGCCAGGTGGCTCATGCGTGTTGCAGATGTAGCCAATGGTCATAGATACATGTCCTTTTAGGAGTAAAGCTGTTGCTCAGGGAGGGGCTGTGTCAGTCCAGAAATCAGATGGACTCTGGTTTCTCCAGCCTGTCCAGCAAAGTGGAGGTGCTTCCAGCCAAAAAGAAGTTAATGAGCCCTGCAGGCACTTTGGTCTGACTGCAGGCAAGCAGGTTGGTTTTCCAGCCTCCTGGGGCACCCCTGGAGGAAGCAGATGGGATGGGAAGTAAACCTGACTGATATGAGATATCACACTTTTTCGGGCTGGGCTCCAGGCCCCTGTTCATGTTTTTAGTTACCTGGATAGTCTTGGTATCAGAGTTTACATGAACCATGGCCAAGCTTATCGCCATACAAATGTTTGAAGAATGATTGAATAGCAAATGGGATAGATGAATTACAGCCTATGGAAAGTCCTTCTGCTGCCAATTTATAGTTTGTGCTTTTGAGATAAAGATGTCTTTGGCTTTTACATTTGTATTTTCAAGTATAAATATATATACACACACACACACATATATATACACACACACATATAAATATACACACACACACACACACACACACACATACACACACTAAGGAAGGAGGAAACTTTCAGGTCCCCAGTGGTTGATTTTCACCTTTGATCTGCATACTAGTATTCATAGCATGCTGCTGAGTTGACTTTTTTATTTCTATATAATAACAGTATATCGATCTGTTGCTAATCTGATGTAACCTTTGTGTGTGTGTATGTGTATGTATGTGTGTGTGTCTATATGTGTGTGTGGTGTTGATCAAGATACATTACTCCAGAGGCCAAAATCAGAAACTAGGGAGGTCGAATATTTCATTATTTAAAATTGAGCTAATATAATGCAATGTTAAGAGGACAGCTCTTCAGATACTGGGTTATTTAAACAGCTTCAATGTACGTCACCCAGGAAGGGATTTGGAGGTTGCTGTCTTTCTTCTGGTGGCAATGCAAGAAAACCAAAAGGAAAAAAACAATTGCACTTAAAAGATCCTATACGACAACTATAAGTATGTATGCTTCGTAATATTCAATTTTATAGGCTGCTATGGTACACAAATTCTCTTTTGTGCATTTTTGCTCTGTTTCCCTCTTCATTGTCCATCTGAAACAAACTATGCCAAGCACTTAGCTAATGATACACGAAAAAGCATTTCAGCGGCCACTCAGAAGTGAGCGATTGCTTATGAAAAACCCATAAAAAATAAGACTGATAGGTGAATTCAATGGTCCTTTTGGAGTTATATCTTTCTTTGCTTTGAAGAAAAGCAAAATGTGCCGCTGCCATCCCTTGCTAGGAGTTCTGTTCCCAGATTCACATTTATGTTTCCATGGTGGTACCACCAAACATAGCAGAACTGAAGAATTTGGAAGTGCTCAGCTTTTTAAATAACCAGATCAAGGAGCTGCCCACACAGATCAGCAGCCATCAAAAACTCAAACACCTGAACCTTGGGTGAGTATCAGTGGAGGGGAAAGGATGGAGAGGAAGAGAGTGGAAGGGGCGTTCTGGGTAGGGCCAGGGGAGGAATTCCATTTATATCATTGCACAGAAGAGGATTTCTAATTTCTTTTTGTGTTTTGGGCTTTAAAAAAAGTTTTATTGTTTTAATATATCCTTTCAGTGGCCTACATTAGTGAATATTTGAGAGCTAATTGAGAAGCTAATAGTTGGCATAATAAGGAGGTTACATTTTTACTGTATTTTGTGTCCAGTAAAATTTTATCTCAGTTCTCTTGACCAAGAAGGGACTTACTTGCCTAGCATGAACTGGCAGACAAGTTGTAATATGGTTGATTTTTTTTCTCTCTGTGTTAAATAGGAATGGTTTACAAAGCACCTTCATGCCATGGAGGGAAGAATGTATTCCCTAATGTTGCTTCATTCATTTTTGCAATTCTTCTCTGTAGTTGAGAGGTGACAATTCTGTCTTTCTTTATGCCAAGGTGAAGAGAGGAGTTTTGATTCAACTGAGGTTGCAGAACCAGGTAGCAGTAAATAATAATAATGATAACCTGTCTTCATGTATTGCTTTGCAGCACTTGATCCTCTCAACATTTGTGAGGTAGGGAGGGCAAGTTTTAGTGCTTTCATTTTATACAGAGGAAGCCAAGCCTTTTCAAAGGGGCTAAGGGACTGGGTTCTGGTCACCCCTGAGGTTAATGGCCAAGCTGGGAAGAGAACCCCATAGGTTATGGGTCTAAAGGCTCCATCAAGACTCCATTGATATGGTTTGGATCTGTGTCCCCACCAAATCTCATGTGGAATTGTAATCTCCAGTGTTGGAGGTGTGGCCTGGTGGGAGGTGATTAGATCATGGGGGGTGGAGCTCTCATGAATGGTTTAGCACCATCCCCTCTTGGTAGTGTCCTTATGATAGTGAGTGAGTTATTGCAAGACCCCTCGTGCTATCCTTCTCCTGCCATGTAATACACAGGCTCCTGCATTGCCTTCCACCATGAGTAAAAGCTCCCTGAGGCTTCCCCACAAGCAGCGGCTGCCATGCTTCTTATACAGCTGGTAGAACCATGAGTCAGTTAAACCTCTTTTCTTGTAAGTTACCCAGCCTCAGGCATTCCTTTATAGCAATGGGAGAACAGACCAACACATCCATAGACCCAAATCGGAACTGCGGCATCAGAATTCCATCTTCATTGGCACAACTGTTAGATGAAACTGCCCACTCATGCTTAAGTCTCTGTGCAAAGTCGTATATTCATTAAATTTTAGCCACTAAATGCTCTGGTTAAGTTAGTGATTGATGTGGAGTGGCAATAGATGCTGGCCAGATATTTGCCTTTTTAAAAATTTATTTATGTATTTTATGAGATGGAGTCTTACTTTGTCGCCAGGCTGGAGTGCAGTAATGTGATCTTGGCTCACTGCAACCTCTGCCTCCCAGGTTCAAGCAATTGTTCTGCCTCAGCCTCTCGTGTAGCTGGGACTACAGGCGCACGCCACCATGCCCAGCTAATTTTTGTGTTTTTAGTATAGACGGGGTGTTACCATGTTGGCCAGGATGGTCTCGATCGATCTCTTGACCTCGTGATCCACCCATGTGACATCCCAAAGTGCTGGGATTACAGACGTGAGCTACCACGCCTAGTCGCAAATGACATATTTAAACGCTCACAGCACTGCCTGCCTGGGGCCTAGGAATTGTCGGTTTTTTGGCACTGTTGAGTATAATGTGTGAGGCAGGCAGCTGTAAGGTCAGAGGTCAGGCTAGACAGGGAATCCTGGATATCTGCTGTTCAGTGAATGAGGATTTACTAAGTTCCCAGTGTGTACCAGGCATGGTTCTAGCTACTGGCCATTCAGCCCTGATGGAGTTTCCATTACAGTTGAGGAAACCAATCATAAATAAATAAATGTTTATAATAATGACAGGGAGTCAAAAGTGCTAATGAAAGGCCTCTGTGCTAAATAAACAAGCTCCTCCAGGGCATGGTGGCTCACGCCTGTAGTCCCAGCACTTTGGGAGGCTGAGGCTGGCGGGTCAGCTGAGGCCAGGAGTTCAAGAACAGCCTCCTCAAGATGGTGAAACCTCATCTCTACTAAAAATACAAAAATTAACTAAGTGTGGTGGCGTGCACCTATGATCCCAGCTATTCTATCCAGGAGGTTGAGGCAGGAGAGTCGTTTGAACACAGGAGGCAGAGGTTTCAGTGAGCTGAGATCGTACTCCAGCCTACGTGACAGAGTGATACTACATCTCAAAAATAAATACATAAATAAATAAATAAACGAGCTCCAATTTTATCATGCTGACAATTGAGAAATTTGCATAGCCGAGTAGTGGATATGAGATATGGTCAGATTTTCCTACAAAAGATCAGTGTGGAGAAGAGGGTGGAGGGAGGGAAACTAGAGGTTAGGAGACCAGTAAGAACATGAGCTTCATGTCCCATGTGAACTAGGACAGTGACAGTGGAGGCAGGGAGGGATTTTATATGAAAACTATACAGGTGGTAACATTGACAGACAGTAACTGATGGGATGGAATGATACCTACGTTTCTGTGTTGGACAGCTGAAAAATAGAACAGATGGAGACAGGTTTGTGAAGAAAATAATAAGCTCACGTTTTGTTCTGTTTGGTTTGAGGCACCGTAGGACAGAGCTGTAAACTTTTCTTTTTCTTTTCCGGTTTTCTTGTTTTGTTTTGTTTTGTTTTTTTTTTGTGTGTGTGTGTGTGTGTGTGTGTGTGTGTGTGTGTGTTTTTATTTTGGGACAGAGTTTTGCTCTTCTTGCCCAGGCTCCAGTGCAATGGTACGATCTCAGCTCACTGCAACCTCTACCTCCTGGGTTCAAGCGATTCTCCTGCCTCAGCCTCCCAAGTAGCTGGGATTACAGGCACGCACCACCACATCCAGCTACTTTTGTATTTTTAGTAGAGATGCCATTTTACCATCTTGGTCAGTCTGGTCTCGAACTCCTGACCTCAGGTGATCCACTCGCCTTGGCCTCCCAAAGTGCTGGGATTATAGGCATGAGCCACTGTACCCAGCCCTAAACTTTTCTTTTTCAATGAATGCATCTTAGTTGCCTTCTTGTTCTCTTTGGAGTTGTTTACACTTTTGGCTGTCATTGTTTTATTGATTGTGTAAAGCTTTTTGTATTTAATTACGTAGCTGCATAGATGGAGTCGTCAAAGTTTGAAGAAAACCTCCCAGTTCTTAGGGAAAGGAGCTAAGATGGGTTTCACTAAAGGATGCCTCTGTCCTCAAATGGCATGAAGAATTATGTTCACACAGTAAGGCAAGTTATAGGGAGGACTCCTTATTCTAAGGAGCCAGGGTGAAAGAAAGCATACACACAGGAGATCACAAAATGGAGCAGGCAAGCCACTTGTATGCGTAATCCAAAAGGCACCCTCAATAAGAATTTGCTTTCAAAGTTTTATATACTATTTGCAGTTTACTCTGTTGGTTGTAAGACATGAGATAATTTTAGGCCACCTGAATAAATAAAAGAAAGTTTATTTCTATTCTTAATTGCTTAAATACAGTTTATTTCCTAGAGTTATTTTCCAAAAAATGTGAAACCACACATGTTCCCATGCTGATGATTATTTCTAGGATAACTTAGCAGGACCACTGTGCCCAACTATTCAGAAATAACGTTTGACCTCGTTTGTTGCTAGAGCTTGTCTCATGAACACATAGAAGTTTTTATTAAGTACCATGTGGGGTACTTATGGATTTGGATTATTTATTTATTTATTTATTTATTTATTTATTGAGACAGGGTCTCGCTCTGTCTCCCAGGTTGGAGTGCAGTGGCGTGATCTCCGCTCACTGCTACCTATGCCTCCTGGACTCAAGTGATCCTCCCACCTCAGCCTCCTGAGTAGCTGGGACCACAGGTAGGTGCCAACTCACCTGGCTAATTTTTGTAGTCTTTTTTGTAGAGATGGGGTTTTGCCATGTTGCCCAGGCTGGTCTTGAGCTCCTGAGCTCAAGCAATCTCCCTGTGTTGGCCTCCCAAAGTGCTAGAATTACAGATGTGAGTCACCGGGCTCAGCCTAGATTTTTTTAATATTTATTTTTGATAACTGTGAGTAGGTCACTGTAGAGTTGAGAAAATTAGTGCCTTTAGCCAAGAAGGTTTTATTGAAGCTGGAGGTACTCAAGACAACCTGCAGAGAAGAAACTGCTCTGAAAAGGAGTCTGTACAGACCTTTCTGGGGCTTTAGAAGAAAAGGAAAAGAGATGTTGAATAGCCTTAGACACCCTGGTTTTATAAATTTCTCCATCATATGCAGATATTTGCCCACTTCCAACACGCATTTGAAAAATCTTCCCATGCAAACAAAGAATTGATACCAATTGGCATAGCTGAGCCCTATGAAGCTTTATGTTTCAACACCTGAAGTCACCTGAGATTAAGCAAGCGTGGCACAAATGGTAAAACCACACTTGATATTCAGACCATCCCAAGTGGCTTGTCATGAGGTGAGCTTGCTCGCTTAGGGCTGATTCAAAATTTTCTCTCAAATCTTTTAAAAAATAATTCTAGCAACGGCTCTCCTTTCATGAGAAGCCACGTGTGAACCATGGATCATGTGTTGGGTGCTTCACATACTTTCTCTCTCACCCTCCCAGTGATCCTGCCCTGAAGATGTTATCAGCCTTATTTTATACTTGAGGAAATTCGGTCTCAGAGAAGCTGAGTAACTTGGTCAAGGTCACGCAGCTGGCAAGTGCTGGAGCCAGACTCCTCACCTAGCTGTCTCCTACCTTAAAGCTCCATTCTGTTCCTACTCCCCCTGTAACCTCTCATGGAAACCTTGATTGCTAGCAGTGTCAGAGTGGGGCCCTGAACATGGAATTCCTACATGTGGAAATGTGGATGGATGGAGATGGATGTTAGCACCTGCTGGGGGGAAGGGGAACAGCCAGCATGTTCCAGCCTTCATTCTGCAGAAAGATGCCAACAGGTCACCGTGCACATGGTCTGGCCTCTGAAGAGGCGGCCAGAAGTCTCTGCAGTTCCTTGCCCCGTTTGTAGCTGGGGCTGTTGCTAGCTCTTCTGAAGTTTCAGCATTTGTTTAAGGACTTCCTTTCTGCCCCCCAGGGTGGTGTGCCTACTACTGTTACATACTGCTGTCAGCTGCACGTGGGACTCTGCTGTGTTCCTTACACATTGTAGGTATTGTTTTGTCACTCAAAGGAAAAAGGAACCTTTGATTAAGTAGATTCTTGCCACCAAGAGGTGGAGGGGCTCCAGGCTTGCTCTGGGCTGGAGATTGAATGGGAGCTCTCTCTCAAGTGAGATGCCTCTTCCCTCTAAAGCCTGTTTAACTGTGGATTTCCTGTACCTAATATTGCAAAAGTGTATTTCTTTATTTGCAGAGAAAAATGTTAAGGAATCAGCAGTTTTCAAAAACGGATAACTTAAAGCAGTGTTTAAAGACAGAAGCACCTAGTGTATGCTTCTCTATCTCCCTTGCTGTCTCTGACTTGCACTTCTTCTCAGAATCCTTGCATAGGAGCCCAAGGGTCTGGAGTGGCTTTGGCCTCCGTGAGGTACAGGGTGCTTCCAGACACATGTCACCCACTTCTGAAGTCTTTGCTCCTTACTCTCTCTTAAGCTGTTTTTTCATCTCAAGATGGCATTAATTACAAGCTCCATCTTGCCTGTATTACAAGGTAGTTTTAGTGAACAAGCGAAGTACTTGCCATAATGTGCTTCACAAATTGTGACTTCATGGAGAATGTTCATTGTTGCTGTCATGGCAATAGATAGTCGTGAAGCTAGTTTTGCTGGGTGTAGTCTGTCTGGGACATTTTCTTCCTGAGATGGGGAACCCACATTTCCATTTTGGTTTCCCCCTCTGCTGTCAGCTGTTTCTGGTGAGGCCCGCTTGGTAGGACTGGACTGAACTTGATCTGTTATGAGAAGCATCGATGACTGGAATGATTTTTATTGTCACAGTCCCTTCCACCTTTCAATACCTGTCAACTTTTATTAAAGTTTTTTTTTTAATTGGCTTTTAAGCATGCTCAAAGGGAACTGCATTGAGAAAAATAAGGGGCTTAAAGAAAAGGATAAAAGATAGTGTAGAAAAAACATCCCTTAACGTCACACACTGGGGCCTGTTGGGGAGTGGGGGGATAGGGGAGGGATAGCATTAGGAGAAATACCTAATGTAAATGATGAGTTGATGGGTGCCGCCAACCAACATGGCACATATATACCTATGTAACAAACCTGCATGTTGTGCACATGTACCCTAGGACTTAAAGTATGATTTTAAAAAAGAAAAAAATTTCCTTAGATTTCACTGGAAACATGCAGACACAAACACGCACACACACCCTCACACACACCACACACACATACTGCATAAACACACATACCACTACACCCCTACACACACCCCATACACATACCACACCATACCACATCCATACCCCACACACACACACCACACACATACCACACACACCACCACACCCTCCACACACACACCACACTGCACACACACCCCACACCCACCCACACACACCACACACACACCACATCCCCTGCACACACCACACACACAGCACACCCTCCACACACCACACATAACACCCCCGTACACACACACATAACACTACACACAACACCACATACACCCACACACACTACACACACCCACACACACACCCACACACAATTGACCCTTGAACAACACGTGGCTTGAGGAAGCAACACACTGACCCCCCATGCAGTCAAAAATCCACGCATAGCTTTTGATCCTGAACAAACTTAATTACTAATAGCCTACAGTTGACAGGAAGCCTTACCAAAACATAAATGTCGATTAACACATATTTTGTGTGTTATATGTATTCTATTATTCTATTCTGCATTTTTTTTTTTTTTTTTTTTTTTTTTTTG